GGAATTCGAGGGGAGAGGTCAGAGGATCTTAATTTTCAGTAACCAGCTCTAATCTTATATTTTTCTTCCATCCAATTACAGTTTAGAAAAGAGAAATAGGGTGTTAGTTTGAAAGAGTAAGCAAGATGATGCTCCTCCTAAAGGAATGCATTTTATAATTTAAAAGGTAACCAAATTGAATTCAAAGGTGGGTTTTTGATTTGCTATCTAGGTTTGGAATTTCATTCATCAATCTATGTTCTTAATGGGGTCTTTTGCATTTCTTTCTTCTTCAAGAATTGCAAATTTTAATTGAGGGGACTTGATGGTTTTTTCTCTTGGTTTTGCAAATTGTAATCTTTTAAGCTTTTCTTTGCAGATATACAGAATGGCTGGATCAGATGAGAGGGGTGATTGAACCTGTAGAAGCTCAAGGTAACTGAACACAATTTGTTTAGTCTATCTTCTCATGTTTTTGCGCATGGCTGGATCAAAGAGCATTTGGGACCATTGATCAAAATATTGTCAGATTACCAACTTACCCTTCTTTGGTCAACAAGAGACCCCTATCTTCGCACTTTCTTAAAATTTAAGTTCAACTCTATCATCTTTCTTTTTTTGTTTACTACTTTTTAATCCTCAAATCTAATTTCAATTAACTGAATTCTATACTTTCTCATTGCAATATGCAAGAACGTATGGAAGGAAATCCTGTAGCTGGCACTGTCAAAAATGTTTTTATTGTTCTTTCCGTTCTTCCAGTTCCAATTACCAGTACTTTCCCGAAGGTAATGTTATTTAGTTATTATATAGTATCTTTCTCAAATAGCTGTTAGAGGTCATAAGGAATGGTAGCACCCAGTTCTTTTCCAACATAGTTGTTTAAGTTTGTTAAAATATGAACTGTTTCTTTCAATAATCAAGCACTTATGTCATCTTCTCTCTCTGAGAATACATTAAATAAAAGAAAGATTAGTAAAAAGAGGTCTTTAAAAAATAAGATTAATTTGTAGAGAGATGGACTGTTGGTACAGGGGAGAGAATAATGATAAGAGTAGTGTTATATGTTGATTGGGATTGTACTTTGGGATCATATTTGGATTCCTTTTTCTTTTCTATTTTATGTGTTTAAAGTGCAAGAAATTTTTAAGAGCAAATCAAATTTTGCAGTATCAATTTGCTATTAACAAATAAATGCCTTACAAATTTGAGTTGTGAATCTTTGGTTTCCCATTGTACAAGGATAAATTTGTTATATAGTTTTTTCAGATTTAACTTATAAGAAGGGAATTGGGATTCAGAAGAAAATTTGTAATTGATTTTTGAATTTTGGTCTTCCACTTCTATTTGGTTGATTTATGTTGAGTAAGTAGTGATAGTAACAACTCTAGATTTTCAATTATAAGTTTTTGGTAGTGTTTGCTTACTCCATCTCTCTTAGCTTGAAGATGGCACTCTTCATCTTCATCGTCATCCTTTCTATGTTAATTTAGTTTGTGGAATTCAATTTTGTGGGCTGTATGATTGATAAAAGTTTGAATTTTTTTCTGCTATTTGTTTCAAATCAGTGTTCATTGCTTTTTAATGTTTTTTTTTTTTTTCCAAAGTTCGATAATTTTCTGTGTAATTATTAGCATTTACGATGGGTGTTTGAAATTTTTGGTTCGTTTTAACATTGGTGTTGTGGTGGACTTTTGATTTAAGCTTTGATTGGTTTATGTTCCCTTTATTATGTTAAATGTAGATCCATTGATAGATTTTATATAAATTATATCAAATTTTATATTGATCTGCGATTCTTTTCCTGAGTCTAATGATACTGCCATCTAGGTTGAGTTGGAATGCGTTTTTGAGATTGCCATGTGTATGGGGAATTGATGGTGAGCTGTGTGATGTGGAACCTAATTCTGGAGAAAGTGATGGTGCATGAAGCAGAACAAAGTTCCCAATGAGTAGATATTGGTGCTAAAAGGGAAGAAAGTGAGGTAAAAGATTTGACAGTGATGAAAAAGAAAGATATGGTTGGGAGTAGTGACAAGCAGGAGACAAGAAGTAATCAAAAGTGGATTAAAGAGGTTTGAGAAGAACCTCTTTAATGAAGATAAGGAGGTTGATCAAGCTAAAAGTCCGAGGTAATGGCTAGCCAAAATGGCCTCAAGTATAGTTTAATTGTTCCAAGCTTACATTTGGTTGAAATACATAAGATCTTTAGCAAAGAAATATTGGAATAGTTATTATTAAGATAATTAACTTTAATTTTATGAAGTTTTTCTAAGAACTCAAATATGTATAAGCATCCTCTTTGCAGTTAAAACAAGATAATTGAATCACTGTTACCTCTGTGAAGTGAGGTGAGAACCGACTTGTTTCGTTATATTGTGGGTTGTCTATTCACTTACATAAGTCACGCCATCAAATGAATAAAGTAAAATGAGTTTAAAGGCCAAGAATTCTTAAGTGCCACTCATTTTAAATGAACAAGTTGGGTTAGAATTATTGATTAAGTAGACTTTTGCCATGTTTTGGGCGTCAATATTTCATATTTGTTAGATTGCTTCGCCCCATTCTAAAATCAACCATTTTACCAAATTTCTTTGTTAGACCAAATAGATCTTTATAAAATTACTTCTGACTTTTCTAAATGTTTGTTTCCCCTTCCATACAAAAAATATGTAATATCATGGCAAATAGAGTCAATACTTTTTGGTAAATTAATTTGCATGGTGATAATAATATAAAATTTAGAGGACAGCAAATATAACCCCATAGGAAAAGCCTGCGCCTTCTCGAATCACATTTCTGAGTTCTTTAGTGTTTTTTAGTCTCCTAGCAAGAAGTACTATGAGTCTCGAAAGCCTTCCTACATCAAAAAGCATTGCAAGCAACA